CCTCGCTCCGCTCTCGGCTCATTCTAAACGTATTTTTTGGGTTGCTTTTGCTGCTTTGGCTTGGTCTCTTTGGAGTATTAGAAATAAGTTTACCATTGAACATATCTTCCCTGCTAAGCCGTTTGATTGTTTGTTACATATCTTCCGTGCTAAAGCCTTCTGATTGTTTGTTTAAACCGATCTCTCTCTTACAGCAGTGGCGGTCGCTCGCTAAGGCGTCTGACGTGGACCACATGGAAACTTGATTTTGAAGATCTCGATCCTTGTCTTTGGGGCTTGATTAGAGCTCTTTTTGGGAAACTAGTGATTGCGCCCATGCTTGGTGCACCAACGCAATGAACAGTAAAACCTACAAAGTAGAGAGAGAAAATTAAAAAAAAAAACCTTCATGGCATTGATTATGAACAAATGTTTTACAACCTTGCAAAGTATGGTCGCCAAATAACATCGAATGATCCACGTTTGAAATGAAATACAAACTCTTGCTCTGCACCAATTTTCAGATTTTATATTTGAGCACAAACTTTGTTTTGTTTTTTCTACAGAGCTCCGGGATGTCATTTGGCCTTAAAATTTTGCAAGTACCTAAGACATTTGTTCATAGTCGGATCTGCAAAGTTTCGGATTTTTTAATTTGTTTTGCTAGGTATTTTATCACGGGTGTTGCGAGGGTGCAATGTTCGTGGTTGTAGAACAACCACACTCGCTGTTTTTTGGTGTCCCCTAATATGGTTGAGGCTTGCGTGTTGTTCTTGTCTTTGTTGATTGTGCTGGACTTTATATTTTGCTCGCATTTGGTATTCTTGAATGACGCGTATGGCTTTTTTGCCATGTTTAGCTTTATCTGTAAAGTCGGGCTATCATCTTTAAAAAAAAAAACTTAACAAGTTAAAGCTCGGCTCGTTAAACGATTTCATATTAAAGCTCGGCTCGGCTCGACTCGTCAATCACCGAGTTTAAGTCGATTCTAGCCGAGTCACAAGCTGCTCATTTGGCTCAAGAGTTCCGAGTTTTAATTCCAGCCCTGCTACTCCCATGCTACACGAGGCTTAAATGAAGCGGCAAATTAATAGAGCGGAGAAGGGAGGAGATACTACTAGCATGTGTGAGCAGATGAAGCAATGACTGTCCACTGATCCGATCTGATATCCATCCCTAAGCTGGGACGTGGGCACGTCACGTCCAGTCCAGATGGAATCAATCACTTGAAGGCAGGGCAGCTAGGTGCCTGTTCATGGCCGTTCCAAGTTGGGACCGACGCCGATGATCCTCCTGTTCATTCAATCAATCAGCGTCTGAATTGAATCCGGGCAGGGCCACCACTACCGTCCTGCCTTCACGGTTAGTTAGTTGATGATGGCGGCCAGCGCGGGGTCGTTTTCGCGGCGGCCACGTACGTACGTCGCTGCCGGCGCCGGACAGGCCAGCGCTGCTCGCCGTCCTTGCCACAGATAGGGCCTGTTGCATCTTGCATGCGTGTTCTTCATCATCGGTGGGGCGGAGGTCAGGCGCTGATCCTGTCGGGCGGATCGGTTGGCGGTGGTTGCCCCCGGCCCCGGCTGTTGGCCTGTTGGAACTTGGAACTGCTGTGCCGTGCTGGTGGTACCGCCATCGCCATGGCCTTCAATTCTCCGTCTCCATCTACTAGCTGGTACCCTTTTCACTTGGCCCGTGGATTGATGTCTACCGATGATGCAATGGCTCGTACCCCAGTACTCTTCGTTTATACTACTAGCTCATATCACAGCCTCTCTCCCTAATGTAAAACGGCGTCGTACATGTTTACTGTAGACTTCGGTGGCGGCATGGGTTAACGATCTGCCATTTCCAATTGTTCATCTCAAATTTGTTGTTCTAGACTAGATCGACCAAGTCGCGCATGATGATACGACCAAGTAGATACAACGGCCCTTGCAGACATAAAGCTCTTCAATAGGTCCGGCGACCTCCTAACATGAAGTGATGAAGATGAGAGGAAGTTGGTACCTGAGGTCGCCATGACGTTGTTAGCATCCCTCCGATCCTAAATACAACGAGCCCTTTTAAGATGGGCTCACCTTGAGCACCCCATGGTAGCCCAGGCTCGCATAGGAGTTTGAAAACGAATGCATGGGAGGCGGAGGCGGCTGCTGGAGCGGGGCGTCGCGGTGAGGGCGACTCGGAGACAAGGCGCTTCAAACGGATGAAAATGGAGACCTTTAGTAGAGTATGTCCAAGCTTTAGGAGGAGGTCATCATAAGAGGGGCTCGCTAGAGCCAGCGATCGAGCGGTAGCGGTCACCGAAGGGGAGGAGGAAGGTGAAGGGCACCTAGGTTTGATCCCTTCCTCCGGAAGGCTCTAAACTTCATTATGGAGCTACCGGGTATGGTCTTCAGGCTCAACGAGGTCGTTGGCCGCGTGAGTGGCAATGTCGTTGTCATGGACATCCTCTAGGCGCCACCCGTGCACTCACTGCAGAGGATGAGAGAGAGAGAGAGAAACTCTGCATTAGATGGAGGCAACTGAGGGGTGATTCTAACACACCCAATGATAACCCACAAGTATAAGTGTCGTGGAATTGTCACGGCAGATGTCCTAGAGCAAGGACTTAGTCGTAGGGCCATCGCACTAGGAAGCTTAAAGGGGTTAATCGGGACAAAGGACACGAGAGAGGATTTTATACTAGTTCGGCCCCTTACGATGAAGGTAAAAGCCTACGTCTAGTTGGGATTGATATTGATGAGGTTTCGATCTCCAAGAGGCTCAACTCGCTGGCTTGGTGATCGACTTGATTGTTTCTTGCCCTAAGCCGCCACCGGGTCGTCCACCTTATATACACGGGTTGATGCCTGGTGGCTTACAGAGTCCCGGCCGGCTCATAATCGTGTCCGGCTCGGTGACTT